TATGAGCAGGAAAATATTTTCAGAGAAGTAATAAATCATATCCTGGGGTCTACGCACACAACCAGGAGCAAGAGTATTGTACCAAGTCTTAGCATCACCCTTTAATGAGAACAGAAATAATTTGAGAAATAATGATAACGAATCTTCTCATCATGAGCAAATAGGGTGGCTATATCATTCAACTTGGTAAGATGTGCCACAACAGTTTCAGTTTCATAACCATGGAAAGGATCAGATTCAACCAAAGTAATTAACTCTGGGTCAACAGAGAATTCATAATCCTTATCATCAACAAAGATAGGTGAAGTAGCAAACTTAGGATCACATTTCATTCTAGCATTCAAAGATTTCTCTTTCAATTTGCATAATAATTTCTTAAGATCATCTCTATCATTGCAAGCAAGAAAGTCTCTAGTTGTCTTCTCATCCATAACATAACCCTCAGGCACTTTGGGCAATTCATATCTAGGAGAACTAGGTCTAATAGGTGTTTCAAGATTTTTAGTTTCAAGCTCTTCATTAGTTTCAACATTCTCAAAAGCTTTAGTTCTAGCAAGTTCTAGCAAGTTGTTTCAAGATGAAGCAAGGTACTAGCATCATCATGAGTATCATTCACAGCAGAAGTAGCATCATCAATAACTTGTGACATATAAGGATTAATAGCATGTGGTGGTGGTGCAAGTCTACTTATAATAGAAGGTGAATCAAGTGCAGAGCTAGATGGCAGTTCCTTACCTTCCCTCGTCTTGGAGGGAAAAAAATCTTAGTCTTAGCATCCTTCAGATTCTTCATAGTGATAATTCGATAATAATCCCAAGTGACTCAACAAATATAGCTATGCTCCCCGGCAACGGCAACAGAAAAAGGTCTTGATAACCCACAAGTATAGGGGATCACAACAGTTTTCGAGGGTAGAGTATTCAACCCAAATTTATAGATTCGACATAAGGGGAGCCAAAGAATATTTGCAAGTATTAGCAGCTGAGTTGTCAATTCAACCACACTTGAAGATTAATTATCTGCAGCAAAGTGATCAGTAGCAAAGTAGTATGATAGTTTTGATAGTAGTAGCAACAACAATAGTAATGGTAACAATGATAGCAATAATTTTGTAGCAAGTGCAATAGTAATAGTAGCAGTAGTATCTTAGCAGAAACAATATAAGAGAAATTCGTAGGCATTGGATAGGTGAATTCTTTGGATGATATTCATATAACAGTCATAACCTAGGGCGATACAGTACTAGCTCCAGTTCATAAATATAATGTGGGCATGTATTCCGTAAATAGTCATACATGCTTATAGAAAGAACTTGCATGACATCTTTTGTCCTACCCTCCCGTGGCAGCGGGGTCCAATTGGAAACTAAGGGATATTAAGGCCTCCTTTTAATAGAGAACCAGAACAAAGCATTAACACATAGTGAATACATGAACTCCTCAAACTACAATCATCACCGGAAAGTATCCCGACTTCTGTCACTCCGGGGTTTGCGGATCATAACACATAGTAGGTGACTATAACTTGCAAGATCGGATCTAAAACATAGATATAATGGTGATAACATAAACGGTTCACATATAAAATCATGGCACCCGGGCTCAAAGTGACAAGCATTAAGCATGGCAAAGTCATAGCAACATCAATCTCAGAACATAATGGATACTAGGGATCAAGCCCTAACAAAACTAACTCGATTACATGATGAATCTCATCCAACTCCTCACCGATCAGCGAGCCTACGAAGGAATTACTCACTCCTGGTGGAAGCATCATGGAATTGGCGATGGAGAAGGGTTGATGATGATGAAGATTGAAGATCCCCCTCTCCGGAGCTCCAAACGGACTCCAGATCTGGCCTCCCGGTGAAGAACAGGAGGTAGCGGCGGCTCCTTCCCGTGAAATGCGATAATTCTTTCTCCCCGATTTTTTCCTCCGAAAATGTGATTTTATAGTATCAGGGTTGGAGTCTGCGGGGCCACCAGGTGGGGACAACCCACCTGGGCGCGCCTGAGGGTGGGGGGGGCCTGGTGGGTTTTGCCCACCCAGGGTGCCCCCCTCCGGTGGTTCTTGGCTCCAAAAATTATCTTTTGTTGTATAAAAATTCCTCGCAAAGTTTTGTTCCAATCCGAGAACTTTTATTTCTGCACAAAAACAACACCATGGCAGTTCTGCTGAAAACAACGTCAGTCCGGGTTAGTTTCATTCAAATCATGCAAATTAGAGTCCAAAACAAGAGAAAAGGTGTTAGGAAAAGTAGATATGGCGGAGACATATCAGTCGTGAGTGCATACCCCTTCGCAAAATGAAATGATCTAATCTCAATCACCGGATCGAGATTGAACAGCAGGGAGGAGGTCACTGGCGATGACAGTCGCAGCG